GATGTTAAAGTTCCTTTGATTGCAAATACTCGGTTACAGTAAGCATGAAATATAAAACTAATTAATATCCTATACAGATCATGTGTTGTGCACAATTAACTATTTGTTATGTGTTGTAGATTCTGAAGCAATTTTTGTATATCAAGAGATGAGCATCACATATATATATTTATAAACTATAAAAGCAATGTTATGTAATTTAACATGTGCATATCGAAGGTATGTTTTTTTTTTAAACAATATGATATAATATTTATAATTTATAACGTAAGCCATGATCTTGTATTTTTTTGTATAATGTCATTGTTTTTTATGTTTTTTTAATTAGACATCGGGTACCTAGAACCGGAACCGGTTCCGGCGGTTCCGGGAACGGTTCCAAATCTTTAGGAACCGATGTAACCGGTTCCGGTTCCAATTCCAATATGATAAGAACCGCCGGTTCCGGTTCCGGTTTCGGTTCCAGTAAATTTGGCCGTACCTGCTTGTGCTCATCCCTAGTTTGTGGGGGTGGCTTGGGAGTGGGTGGGTGTGGGTAGGTAGGGGTGTGGTGGGTTGGAGGTGTTAAGGTGGGGGTAGGTAGATGTGAGAGTGAGTGTGTGTTTATATTTTAGAAAAATTTTAGAATTACAAAAATATGGAAAACAATGATTATTGATTTTCCAAAAATTTCCAACTTCTTTGTAATTTTAGAAAACGGAAAATTTTCATTTTTCGTGAAAAATAGACGAACCAAACGTGTTTTTAAATTGATTTTTTTTTCCCGGAAAACGGTCCATTTTTCCGCAACTAAACGCAACCTAAACTTTCTATATTGAAAAAAACCGATGCCTTATCCGGTATGACACTAAGAGAGCTGGGTATGGGCAACGCCCCAAAGGGCGTTATTGTGTGTTATAACACGTGAACACCGCCCCCCTTCCTCGTTATCAGGAGTTATTAGCCTGCGCGTTGCTCCCCGTTACCACCATAACATTTTATAACGTTGTTTTTTGTCTTTTTCCCAATAAAGTCGGTGTGGGCGTTGCCCACACCTACCGGTCTAAATAATTAATTGGTTTATGTCTATATATGTGAAAGTCGTAAACCCTAAACCAATAATTGATCCAAACCTAATAATATCTTCTTTAATGTAAAAAGTAGTATAAAAATGAACATGAAAGAGAAAAAGAGTCTTTATCCCCGTCACTTTCATCCCCACCACATTCTCTCACTTCCTTTATTTTTTTTTTTGTTTCTTCTCCAAATTCGTTACCTTAATGTTTAAGACATATGTGTGTGATAAAAGTGAATGCGTAAGCTTCCATGTAAGAACCATTCAAAACTTTTTACACCCTTGTCCTCATTAATTTTTTTCTCTCATTTTCCAAATTTGTTATTATTTTCTTAAAAAAAATTAAATTGTTTTCTACTTTTTATGCCTACAAATGTTCCTACCCAATAAAATTATCACAAGTGTCATCATTCCATATTTTTTTTAACTAACTAATTAAGGCTATATTAGGAATATATCAAATAAAATTAAATTGAATGGTGATTTGTCATAATTTTAATGGGTAGGAATAAATGTAGGCATAAAAGGTAGCATGTAATTTAATTTCTCTTTTCTTAAATCTTATTTAAATATGATAAAAAAGAAGAAAATAAACAGGGCCTAAGTTACCTTTACAACAAAAGATCTAAACAAATTATTATTAAACTTGGTAAACCACATATTTTGAGGCCACCAAGAAAGAAAAAAAAAAAAAAAAAAAAAAAAGGCACATCAATAAGGCGCGGTGGCAGTGAGAGTCCGATGTCTGGGATCTGTAAGAATTGTTTGTACGTTGACAAAGCCGGCATCCTTCACGGTTTTTTCCAAATCGAGTAAGTAGTATTCATCCAGAAAAGGCTCTGTGCTCTTCATTAAAGTAAATAGAACCGGCGATAATTGCTATAAACATATATCAAATCAATGATTTTAGTTACTAACACACTTCTACAAAATTATATCATTGAAACTTTTTTTTTTTTTTTTTTGCATGTTAGGATATTTTAAGTTGAAAAATTACCCCATTATGGTCGTGAATATTGATATTTTATTTTCTTGATATGGATCTAATTGGTAGAATGTTCAAAGCACAATGTTGTGATAGGAAGAAGTGAAAGTATGGTTTTATAGTAAGCAAACCAATGAAAGTAAGGAGTTGTTATGATATTTACTGGTCTCAATCTATCAGATTCAAATTGTTTGATACTACAATTAGAAACTTCTGATTTGGTCTTATAGCCTCTGATATACCTCTTACTGGTTTGATAAGAGGCACATCTGACTCAATCAGGACTCAAACAGAAACTATCAAACATTACCGAAGTTGCTATTATTTATTTATTTTTTTAAATTTAACCCATTTTATTAAAATCATGAAACTCTATAAAACCATGTCATTAAAAAATAAATAATTAAAGTTAGGTTATATTAGCAAGTTTTCATTCTTCCATAATGGAATACGAATACCTGAAGTTTCTTGGACTTTGGCTGCAAAAGGAAGACATGCTATAATGTTAGATTATGACATCGGAATGGAAAGCTACATCGGAATGGGAATTGAATTACCGAGTTATCAGTCACAACAAAAGTCCCTCCAGGGCGAAGCAGCCTAAATGCTTCCTTTGCTAAATTTACTGTAGCTCTTGCTGGGCATTCGTGAAGCTGCGAAGTGTTTTGAATTTTTGATGAATTATTTTACTTTTCACATTGGTATGGCAATAAAATATGATTTGGATTTTTTTGAAGTAATTATCAAAGGAGACGTAATTACCACATAAGAAATTGAAACAATGTCGAATGATTGTGAATCCAAGCCTGTGTTTTCACCATTTGCATGTATCCACTCAAATGAATTTGATTTTTGGGGGTTTATTTTTTCCTTGTATATAGCAACAGCTAGGAAGTATGGTGATAGATCCAGACCCTGTGAGACATGACATGAAATAAAAAAAATATAAGTAATGTCAAATGGCTGATGACCTTTATTTCTTAGGAAAACTCCATAAAAGTCCTTATATTTTGGCCTCATAATCGATTTAGTCCTTGTATATATTTTTTATTTAATTAAGTCCCAAAACCCGGCAATTGTATTCATTTTGACCCTTTTACCTGGTCAAGGTCATTCCACTTTCAAAACTCACACTTAGATTTTAAATTTTATTATAAATTTGGTCAAAAATTTACACTTTTGACCCAAATTTCAATTTTTATTACGAACTCATCATAAATTTAGTTTTTTATAAAAACAATTTGTATACAAATGCTTTTATTATAAAATAGGTGTTAGAATTCGTAACAAAATTTTGAAATCTGGGCCAAAAGTGTAAATTTTGGACCAAAATTGTAATAAAACTTAAAATCTTGGACAAAAGTGTAAATTTTGAAAGTGGAATGACCTGTTGACCGGGTAAAAGGGTCAAAATGAATACAATTGCCGGTTTTTGGGACTTAATTAAATAAAAAAAATATACAAAGACTAAATCGATTATGAGGCCAAAATATAAGGACTTTTATGGAGTTTTCCATTATTTCTACTTGGTTTATCAATGTCAATGGATTTGGAATGTAAAGAATTATAAATGATCATGGAAAGGTGAATTCCATCATTCCATGAATAATGGAACTTGAAGGATTCCGATGGGAATTGAATTTTGTCCATTTGGCAACCAACAATGTCATGGAATGGAATCTTGAATTCCAATTCCGCCGGAATCCGCAAACACAATTATCGCGACGGAGGAATTAGAAGGTCGTACTTACAGTTAATTTAGCAGATGGAAATTTATCAGCAAGAAACCTTGTGCTGACACCTACAGAACATCCAATGTCAAGAATGTCTTTAATTTCCAAGTTTCCAGAATACTGTTGATGGTGTTTTTCAATAGCATTAAGCCAATTTCCACGAACTATTTCATTTGCTTCATCAAGTGAAGAAGCATCAGGTATTGCTCTCCTCACCATTGACATTGTTGCAGCCTCAGCTTCTGCAGCAGCCTAATTATAAACAAGATTTGATGTGTTTCTATTACAATTTACAACATTATAGTTTCAGTTTATATCTTATTTAGGCATTTTTCTTTGATATGTTTACCCAATTCATGAGGACAATGTACATTCAAAAACCTATGCAATCTTTTTTCCAGAAAAATGAGAGAATGTTTACCAGCCAAGATAGGTTGCCTTCATCATATGCATGGAAAGGACTGAGATAATCTGTTCCAAAAGTTCAACCATTAAATTTATCATAAACCTGTTAACATTTTACATTTAGTCGCTAAATCTACAAACATCTGATTCTAAAGGAAAGGGGAGAGAAATTTACAGTCAGGGTAGACTATGGAGGGATTCTCGATGCTCTCCATTTCCTTATAAACATCTGATTCTAAAATCTCCTTCGTCATTTCTCGCCATGGTACGTTGGTTTTCTCAGCAGTACTGTAAAAAGTATAATGCCACCAGTTAGTGAACTTACTAATCACAATAGACTCAATAACATGTAGAATTAAGGAAAATATGAACTTCTGATCCACGAATACTAATACTACGATAGGAAATCAAGATGTGGCAGCAGAATTTGGTTTGCACCTGATGAGAACTTGTCTGGCACCAAGTTTGAGAACAGAATAAAGAGGTTTGAATGAAATTAGGGCACCAACAAGGCGAGAAAGAGGGGTTTGACCTGTCCAATTAGGCCTTTCTAGTTCCCCTTCTTCGTACGACGCCAATTGACCCCCTGCTCCTCCACCGCTTGACGCCGTCATCCGGATAATCATGGCGGATTTTCTCGTCGTTTGTTGAATTATCCTTGTTTTGTAAAACTGATAATGGCTGCCGCACTTCGATGCTGGGAGCACGCAGAGGGCCATTAACACGAGCTCTGTTGTTGAAGATGACGGTTATGGTTGTCGTAGCAGGTCAAAGCATTTTTGTGTTATATTGCACAATCTCCCGAAATCTTGTTTAGCCACTCACTAGGTGACACGTCAGGTTCAGGAAGGGGTCAACTTCGTCAATGTTCACCAGTTTCTTCTAATCCAGCAGTGGTGCCACTTATGACAGTCCATGTCCTTTTTTTTTTCTTCATTTTCTACGCTATCTTGTATTTTTTGCTACACTTTTTTTTCCTCAATTTAAATTTAATATTTTTTAAATATTCTTTAATTGCAACAAAATAAAATAACAGCAATAAATAAATTATTTTTGCCGAGTATCAATGACATTTTCAGATAAAAAATAAAATAAAATATATTGATTATATTTTATGAACTTTGTAAAGCAAAATTAAATTTTTTTGGGTATAATAATAATAATAAACTTATATAGAATACATTTATTTGAATTAATAAATATATTAAATATTAAAAGGAATAAATGGAACGTAACATTTTATAAAAGTTGAAGGGTAAATATAATATTTCACATTTTAATTTTGGGATAGAAAGTGTAGCAAAGGAGAATTTCGACTTTCCATTAATGCAACTTCAAATTTAAAGTTTATTTCTCTCTCATTTGTAAACATATACCGAGTTAAGCAAACCGAATAGGTGGGGCGATGTTCCCCGAGGCCACGTCGGCAATTGTCGAGCTCCACCGAGACCACTCCGCCTACACTTATATTTTAAAAACTGGTGTTTTAGTTCTATCATTTTGATGAATGGTTATTTGTTTGACCGGTTTGATCGTAAGGTCAACTCGGTCAACAGTAAAAATCATGAACACGAGAATATAGAAGATTGATGTTTAATTTGAGAACATTGGCTTTCCATTTGAGAAGAGCGACGTCTAAATGCTCGAATAGGAAGAAGATCGGTCTCTGGTGCTTGAATGAGATAATTTGATAGCCGGTTGTTATTCAATATGCGTTGGAATGGGCATGCGTAAGTGAAATCTAAGTCCAATACACTGGTTCAAACAACTTCTTACCAGTTCTATGTGTAACAGTTGGAATCCTGGTATGTTCACTATTGCCCCTTGTGTATTGATAATTGCATTTTGGTCCTTGTGTTGTACGCGAGGCATACAACATGGTACGCTTGGCGTACAAGCTGCAAAGCGAGTACAGTGGGCGTACTACATGGTACGCTTAGCGTACTCATGCAAGGCTTGGACGGGGTTTCGGACACGTACGCGGGGCGTATGTGTGCTTTAATGAAAACCCTAATTTCGGGGTTGGACACTATATAATCATCTTTATGGCTCATGAAACCCTTATTTCTCAGCCTCCTCTGACCGTTTAGCCTCATATTCAAAACCCTAAGCCTCTCCTTTGTGTTTTGAGCTCATTGTGTCCATTTTGGTGTGTTTTGGTCCATATTCAAGAAGTAGAAGCTTGGTGCAAGGTGATGGATCAAGGAAGAGCTTGTGGATCTTGATTATTTGCTTCATTTCCAACTTGTTTGAGGTATAAAGCTATGAACCTGTTCATTTAGGGCTTAGATCTATTATATATGAGTTTTGGTCCTTTTTTGGCCCCACGAATGAGATCTAGTGGTTGATGCCACTCCAGGAGCTATGATTTGCCACTCTTGGTGTTTCTGAGGTTCAAGGTCCATAAAGTTGGCACCTTTAGGGTTTAGAATCCCCCATACATGAGATTATGTCCATTTGGTGGAAGTATTATGCTATATCTTGAAGTTGGGTCTTTATGGGCCATGCAAAGTCACCAAGTTAGTGACTTTATGGTTCTAGACATTTATTAGGGTTGAGATATGTGATTTGGACTTCTAGACTTAAACGTTAAGAGGTTAAAGCGAAATTTGGCTTAATGGGTAAGTACGTTGGGCGTACAAGTCTGTAAGCGCAACATACAAGTCTTTTTGCATGTACACTTGGCGTACAACTGAGTATGCCCCGCATACTTAGTCAGGTGGAATTTTGCATGTTGGGCTTTGAGTTTGGGCTTTCTTTTGGGCTTGGGTGTTTGATTTCTTATTGTGCCATCTGAGTATAAGTGTTTTGGACTAGGAAAAATGGTTAGGCTTTAGGGTAAGCTCCATGTAAGGGGTTTGGGCCCAATTTGGAAAATTGGGCCATAATTGGGACTTGGTTGATTAATTGGCTTTTGGGCCTTTTAGATTGTGAGTTTGGCCCTTTGTCTTAGACCAAGCTAGATTAGGGTTAAAATGGTCTTTTTACCACAAGTATGGATTTATGGTTATGTACTGGAACCCAAATGTTAATTGGGTATTATTTTGGTACTGATTAGCTCGGGGATTCGTCGGACCAACAGACATGGATTTTCAGTGAGATCCAGCAGTCGAGGTGAGTTTCCTCATTGGGTTTAGCGGGTCTAAGGCACCAATGTCGGCCCTTATTGTTTATGTTAGGATACTAGGAGTCTGCATGACCCTTGCATGTGTTATGTGCTGCTATGTATACCGGGCGGGGTCGATGCCAGGTAAGGCCCGATGACTTAAACGTATACTATTGTTTATGATCATTGTATGTGTTAGCACGATTATGTGATATATATTGTATGTGTATAGTAGGCGGGGCCTGATGCTAAGCGGGGCCTAAGAATAACATATTTGTATACCGAGCGGGGTTCTATGGAGGGCGGGGCCCGATGTAAGGCGGATGCCCAATATATGATTTATTATGTATGGTATGGGGTAGATTGGGGAACTCATTAAACTTCGTGCTTACGCTTTTCAGTTTATGTTTCAGGTACTTCTTGTTCCAAGGGGAAAGGCTCGGGATGACTGCATCGCACACACCACATGGTTCCGCTTTTGAGATGTTACTTTGATTGATATGATGTTTGATACACTTATTTTTATTTGGTTTGTATGGATAATGTTTTTGGAATACGGTTTTATTTAAATAAAAATGAAATTTTTGGATCATATTTTTAGGACGTTACAAGTTGGTATCAGAGCCTTGGTTTGAGGGAATTGGGCACAATCTCGGGTGTGTCTAAACTCAAACTGAGGATTTGGTAAAGGTTATTCAAAAAGAAATATATTTTTCAAGAAAAATGATTTTTTTAAAATAAGAAAGGGTGTGGTGCATGCAATCAGCTGAGCTCAAGTAAGTTTTGCCAAATTACCCATACATGTTATCTGATGTGATTTGATCTGTGAATCTATGAATCACATTCTCGTTAGGGCTAAGGATCTGCTCAGTTTTTTCATTATAAAATTCTAGGAAATATGCCTTTGTATGCCTATTGTATGAGCTTGTAGACTTGCATGCTAGTATTGATCAGTTAGTGATAGGATGGTCTGATTAGGTTATGCTTGGTTCTGGTTACTTGATGCTCGAATGTCGCTTGCTTTATGCTTTTAAGAGTTCTAACTAGCTCCAACTAACTAGTAAATGAATATGCTAAGTTACATATTATGGGAACTAAATAATTTTAGAAGGTTAGGTTTTAACTCTATTGCGCAGCTCTTGTTTGAGTCCAACCGTTATAGTGTGAGACCTCTCATTCGAAGAATTATCTGATTTTAGTAATCTTTAATTGTTAGGTCATAAATTGTGGTTTATACTTTTCTTTTCATAAGCTATTAGATTTCTTGGTCTAGGATCGAAAACACCATGTTTTGGTGTTGTTTGGACCGAAATCACATGTGATTTCGGTTAGGCTTAATATTGTTTTGTTTGGGTTTTGGGCTTGGGCTTTGTTATTAGGTCTAGGTATAAATAGTGTTATTCAAGCCTTGTAAAGGGTGTGGGACGTTTTTGGGGGCTTCCATATGTTAGGGACGTGATTTTTGGAGAGAAACAGAGAAAACCAAGTGTAATCAAGTATCTTATGTACCCGATTATTCATCAATAATAGTGTGCATTGAAGATTAATCTTTGTGTTCTTATTCCATATTTGATCTTGCATCATTCACTTGATTGGGATTCCGCACCATCAACTGAATCCGATTGATACATCGTAGCATTTTGGGTTTTACAATTGGTATTAGAGCTCAGATCGGTATCAATCGAATTGGCAAGATTTTAAGAATTTCTTGGAGTTTTTCTTAGATTTCCGGGTGTTTTTGAATTGTTTTGGATGAATTTTTGGTTGTTTGTTCTTTGTGTTCTTCATATTTTTGGAGTTTTGATCGAATTTGGTCTTAAAATTAGAAAATTTTGTGTTTTTGGCAAGTTTTGAGTGATTTTTGGTCAAAATCTGTGAAATCTCGGAAGCCAGCCTCGTATTTGGTCATACCCTCGAAAATCTCGGCGGCGGCTTCGCTCTCGGATTAGGTCAGCAACAGTTTTTGGCGGCAACGAGGGTTCTCAGTGCGAGGGTTTTCGGTGCGAGGTTCTCGGCTTCGGAAGTTCTCAGTTTGCATGTTTTCGGTCTGACTTCTCGGTTCGCACGTTTTCGGATTCGCAGGTTTTCGGTCGGACGTCTCAGCCTCGCAATTTCGGTCAGCAGTTCTCGGTCCGAGATTTCTGCCTCGCAATTTCGGCTGGAATTTCATATTTTCAAGATTTTGGCTTATTTTCAGCCCAAAAGCCACATTTTCGATCCAATAACCTCGTTTTCGGTCCTAAAGCTTTACGTTTGGTCAAAAAGGCACATATTCGGTCAAATACTCTCGTTTTTTGGTCTTGATATTTCGTTTTCGGTTTAAAAACTTTTGTTTTCGATCAAGATTATTTTTTTGGACAAAAGGTTTGATTTTTGAAGTTTGACTATTGAGGTTTCAAGTCAAATGACACTTTTCTTGGCTACACAATCAGATCTATTTTTGGTAAACAATGAGTTCTTACAAATGTACAAAGGAGGTCAATGAAGCTTCATGCTCTCAGTCCTGTGAAGCTAAAATTAAACTTTATCGTGATCAACATGAATTATTAATTAGGGAAATTGAGGACCTTAAATATGAAGGCTATACTCTCAGAAAGGCCCAAAAACCTCTAAAAGAACAACTAGAGGCCAAGACAAGAGACTTTAGACAGCTT